TCCTCCAACCTTGATGGTTCTATGAATGCTTAAAAACTCTCTCTAGTTTGTACTCAGTGGCTTTGAAGGCAGCTTAACCACCTTCATTTGGCTTACGCCTTGGCATCACCCTGTGCACCAATACCTCCTCAACTGCCTGCTAGTTCTAGTCTTACTGGTACTGTGAAAATATCTCCCTTAGGAGCCTTGCAAATAGCAGTTACCATCCACAAGCTGAGAAACCAAATGTGTGAAGAGGTAAAAATATATTTGTTGTAGTAATTTCAGAGTTGCTAGTCTAGATAGACAAGTGTTTTGGTTGGAAATGATGTCTTGGATGGCCTTTTCATGTAGCCATCACTTCAATAAAATTCACCTTTACTCAACAAAGTGCCTTTCTTTTTCCCTGAATGCTTGTTCTTACCTGGGCAAATGCTACTCAGGTGCAAGGTAGAAAACAAGGGGATGTTTAGCATTGCATTAATGAGATTTTATGGATCTGGTATAGTATCCCCACTCTTTACTTTGGAAGACAGTAATGACAATGGATTCTTCTAGATGAGTGGGGGGATAATTGGCATGTTATGGGTTGGGTATTTTTGGGGGGTTTTTTTAGGAAAAGAAAAATCAAGTTTTGAAGAAAAAAGGCTCATTTAAATTACTTCAAATGCGTTATTTGTTGTCACCAACAATCTGACAATATCTGACATGAAGGAGGGGAAGGATGTAGAAGCTGTTAATGTCCTTAGTAGAAGGATTGCACTTAGCATGTTTATTTTAAGGACTAGCCACCTTATAAATCAGCATCCCTTTGTAATAGCACCCAACATTGCAGTGGACATAATGACCTGTTCCCTAATTCCCTTGCAGCCAACTTGTAGCAGCTTTCACATAGAGGTGTATATGCTATAAGGAAGGGACATAATCATCTGACTACATTTCAGACTGGTTTTGATAAAAATTTGTCATATGGTCGTGCAAGGATGGGAAGGTGCATCTTGGATTCAGGAGCTTCCTTCCTGTCCTGGAAAACCTGTGGGATGAGGAAGGGCTGAGGGAGTTGGGTTTGTTGAGCCTGGAGAAGAGGCTCAGGGGTGACCTTGCTGCCAGGGTTTGGACAGAGGTGGGGGATGTCTGCCCTGCCATGGCTGCAGGGAGAGGACTAGAGGGAATGGTCATAAGATGCGACAGGGGAGAGTCAGATTGGATGTCAGGAGAAATGTTTTCCCTGTTAGGGTGTTCAGGCAGTGGAATAGATTGCCCAGGGAGGTGGTGGAGTCACCATCTCTGGAAGTGTTGAAGAGGCATCTGGATCTGACTCTGGAGGATCTGGTTTAGGGATTCCAGCAGTGACAGGTTAATGGTTG